TCCGATATTGCTGAGACCATGGCATTAATACATCTCGTATATACTTCATGCTTAGGACGGGGCGTATTGTGTGTTGGCTTGTTTAAAGTACATACAAATTCTACAACACGAAATTTTTTCTCATGCGGTGGCGGAGGAAGAGGAGAAAGAAACTTTATTCGAAAAATCTAGCGACGTTGGTGGGGGGGATTCCACGCCTGGGCTTTGGCCAGGAGCCCTTCAGGTACTCCGCCAGGGCTCGGAGCCCTGGCGGAGTACATATAATGCAAACAGTGAGCCCAGTTAAGTTATCAAAATATTAGGTGCTAAATTGAAACGCTAGATTAGTATAGGCTGATAAATTGTCTTTTGAAACCTAGATCGCCGTTAGTTTCGTCTTCATTAAAAGTTCACCATTAAAAAAACAAAAAGGAACAAATGTTCAGCCAAACATTCATCATTTTAATCATTTTGTTCCTAAACTTCCGGACCTAAATGTCAGCGTGACGTCATGAATTCTGTTCCATTTTCGTAGTTCTGCCGACGGACTCGATCAAATTCCAATGAAAGATCGCGAGTATATACCCGGCCGCATCGCGAACAGAGCGCGTAGGTCCGAAAGGAACTGCTCTCGCCAAATCTGCGACTACAGAACGCGTGCGCCTCGACGGCAGCAGTTTGTGATGGGGAGTCGTTCGGCCGATTTCGTGCCAGACGGTTGTCTCGTCCGTGATGTCCTCTCTTCGATCGGAGGCCCGTCCACAGACTTCTCTAGTCGGCTCCAAATCTTTACTTTTCTCTCAATATTCTCTCTCTGTCCCTTTTTAATCTCTCCTCATCAGTTTTCCTCGTGAGCTACTGCTGAGGTGTCGCTCTTTCATACAGACAGCTGCGGGGCTCACTTTTTTTTTTTCCTACTAAAAAAAAATTCCTTTCCCCCACCCTTACCTGGTGAGCGAAAGCTAGTGAGGGGGCACGGAGTGTTTTCCTGCGGCTCGTCCACGGCTGCCGGCGACTGTGAAAATCCTGCCGTGACGCTCACTGGAACGTGAAAAACATTATTATTATTATTATTATTATTATTATTATTATTATTATTATTATTATTATTATTATTATTATTATTATTATTATTATTATTATTATTATTATTATTATTATTATTATTATTATTTCCCCCTTGCAGCCGTCGTTGTAGCTCCCTGACATTGGTCACACCACGAAGACTCATTTGTCCACGCATGGTCTATAACAGTATTCAATGATTACCCCGAAGCCTGGCTCATCGCCTTGCTTGTCGCCCCCAGTGGTTGGATGGTTGACTGTGGTCTATACAATGATCGCACATGAACACAAATAACTCGTACAGTTACGCGCCCACATACGCACAAGATAGTTATCCAGAGTAACAAAGCACTGCCGCTCTGACGATACACTGTAAATGTTCCGATCCGTTCTCCAGAAACGGCGAGATCCTGTTAGATCAGTTGTACGAGGAAAATTTTTTTCGATTAAAAGGAAGATTCCTAATCTCCGCCGCCCTCGACGCATCGCGATGTAGGACATCGAGGATCCTGGCGAGTGATTTCGCGTGTGGCCTTCTCGATCACCTCGCGATGCGGGCGATGCGTCGAGGCTGTTCAAAATGCGAGTTTATGCGACTCGCGTGCGCGTATATCTCGGTATTCCCTGCGGCGTCCGTATAGGGAGGACAAGCTCTCCCGCTCTGGCTGACCTAATCTCCGGCGCAAAACAATATGTATTTATACGAGTCGGCGCCTCGCTGAATACGAATAGGGGCTGCGAAGCAAGCAGCAAAGTTGCGGCACTGCGGATTTCTTCCTTTTCCTCTTCCTCCGCAAAAGATAAACACGCATGGCATGTCTTTCCGCCTCGCTGTACTTTTTATTGTGCGTGTGCGTGTGTGTGTTTGTGTGTGTGCACATGTGAAAGTGTGTGTGGTTGCATGTGTATGGGGGTGGTGTGTGTGTGTGCGTGTGTGTGTGTGTGTGTGTGTGTGTGTGTGTCGCTTCTTGCCTTTTGCACCACCATTGAAAACCGCGCGTAGTGCTTTTATAATTCATTACGTTTTCGTCTCTTGTCTTTGTCGCATAGTTTCGGAATCGATACGGCGAACGCACGCGACGCTGCCCTCCACTTCCGCGCCCGGAAATGAAATTTTACGACGAGGACCGATTGCGTGACCGTCTTGCGGCGGCGCACTGTCGGTGCATCTAAACGCCGCAGGACGGAACAGCGAGACGGCCTCGATTTTTTTTTTTTACAAAACATCGCACCAATGCGCGAGGTGGCCGAGAAGGCGACGTTGATCGCAAGGAGGCGACGCGCTCGTGCAGTCGGGAGCGATGGAACCGTGTCGCCTGCGTGTGTCCGGCGAATGAGGGAGAGTGAAAGACAACGCGATATTCTTGGAACGGCAATTAGAGAAAAGTAGCCGTCTTCGGTTTCCGCAATTTCCTCTCATCGACGTCGCCGCTGTGCAGCGAGGAACGCGTCCGATAAACGGACTTGCGGCAATGTGCCGCTTTCTGCGGTGCGACTAATTGTCGGTTGGCGCTCACGTTCCAGGCGCAATGCGTTCCTTTATCGTTCCGAGCAGGCATTTTGGTCGGCAAGCGTCGTTTCCAAGTGACGTTGTCGTTTCATTTTATCCTCAACTAACGCAAAGCGCCGACGTATGTCACATATCTACTCTGGCTGCGTAAGCAGAGACACGAACAAGTGCAATCGGTTCAACGTATAGTCAGCGAAAGTAATTTATATGGCTCGTATGTCTTGCTGGAAAACTGCAAAATTGTTGGTGTTCTAAAAATAGACGTTAAACCGTGGTAGGTAGATAGAGAGAGAGAGAGAGAGAGAGAGAGAGAGAGGGAGAGAGAGAGAAGAAAAAGAGTAGGCGAATTGGCATCGCGGAATGCCTCATTCACAGTTGGTGCTGCGTGGTTAATTAACGTACCACGGTTGTGTGGAGCAAGAAGTTTTCTCAGGGGTAAACATTTGATACATGCAGTTGGTTAAGGTTATTTGGGACTTGGGTGACCGATTACACCCATCGGTGGATGCGAGCAAAATTTTTGCACAAATCGCTTTTGTTTTAATTGTCAATGGCCTAAGTATTGCATATGAAACAGAAAAAAGAACGTAACAACGTCGGTCAATGCGAAGGGATGGACATATCGGCTTCCACGTCGATTATATGTCGTCCAATTGCCGATTTACACCAATTAATGTTTAGTCAGAGATCGTGAATAGCCAGATTGAGGCCAGTTAGTTCTCAGGCGTGCTGACCAGTATATAGCCCTGGATTGCATTAGACGTTTAGAGAATGTGAAGAACGCTGCTGTTTTTTCATCCTATGCGGACGACGCTTATGCAAGGTAACCTGCTCACGCAAACGAACTGGCACCCGAACTGACAAATAAATAGACAAGAAAGTCACACACCACGGTGCATATGAGAGTCAGAAATAAAGCACTGCAAGAAAGTAAGGCATGCTCATATGGACGCAAGAGAAGCGAAACACACGCACAAAAACGGCCGTTAGTGTTGCATGTTTAAGCAAGGTATAGGTACACGCAGGCACTGGTTCGTGTATGAGCTCGTGATTGTCTTCTACGACGAAACCCTACACTCAAGTTCAAAGTCCTGTCGTTTAAATGAGGCTTCTCATGGACTCAGTGGACTGCACGAAGTACGTTGGCCTTCATTACGCATATGATCATTTCCCTAATAACGAACGTTATGACTCTATGCACCATTAAGCAAGTAATTCTCACTCTCCACACTTGTCTATGCGACGGCGCGCGTCAGCTCTTTGCCCGCCGCTGTCGAAGTGCCGCGTGGCTTTGATCGTGAACGGCTGTGGCGCCTTCATCATTATTCGCCCACTAATCGCTTCCGCCTTCCTAATCCCTCGACGAGTGACAGTGGGTTGCTTTGAGAGGATTATGGTTCTGCCGGTACAATGACATGCCGGAAACTTTGGACATGCATGATAGAGAAGGAATAGATAAATATATTTGAAAAAAAGTGTTTCTTTTTTTCCCCTAATTTTTCTTGTTTTGCTAGCAACGCGCGCGGTACACTCGTGGCGAGAGGAATTGTAAAAATAAGCAGCAGCCGCCCGGCGATCGTCATCGATGTAGCACGCAATGAATGAGTGAAAAAACCTCGATCCTCCTAAACCACTTACTGCGTCGGCTGTTTTCTTTTTTCTTTGCTTACGTGCACGTGCGTGCGACCTGCTTATATTCAAAAACTGGATCGCCACACGGTTTCTCGCGTTGAGGCTCCTACCCGGCATCCGAAATGTCTTCTTTCTCTCGTCTTACACGAAAACTCGGTACTTCACGTCCTCTTGTACGCGGAAGTGAGCCAGCGGCCGACGGTCGCCGGACGTTGAGCGTCGTGACGAGCATCACAAGCGCATGACCTCCGAAAGTGACTCTGTCCCACCACGTGACCGGGACGTGCTAAGATTGCGCGAAACAAAAAAAGAAAATAGACAGTGATGACTTAAGTGTGACATTAAGCCTGATCAGATGTAGGCCATTATGTATGAATCAACAAGATTTTTTTGAAGACAGTCTATAAAGAAAACCTATAACACACACACTGACTTGATTGAACATAGCGGAGTTGACGTGATGTGGCGCACACCGAGGATTTGACGGACTTCAGAGCAAGCGAAAAACAATAAATTCTGCATAATTTCTTTTTGAAATCACTGCAGCAGTTGTTAAAATCCGCTCTAGTGAGATTAAATGCGCAGTAAATAATTTCCAAAAATCCAGAGTGAAATATTTTTTTTGTTTTGTGCTCCCACCTCATGTCTGTTAGCCGTCTCTGCTAAAAGATGCAATACAAAGTCATCCGATGGTTCTCAGTAACATGCATCGAGTAGGTTCGGTGCCAAGTTGGTAAAACGTGGGATTAAATGTGAATAAAATTAAGCCTCGTGGAATAAATTAAGCATGTTACATTTTCTTTCTTTCACACAGACCGTCGTCTTCTTGGACAAAGCCATGCTGAAACTGCTGCTGAATCACTGGCAAGAGTCGTACCACAAGGCTCCGACCAGGGTTACCAGTGAGGACCCGTTGCTTTGCACGGACCTCGCAAAGACTAGACCAAACGAGGAGTACCTGGTGTCCAGGGTTAACCCACTCTTCGTCGACTCCAGCCGCGAAGTTTCGCCGAACAACACCATCAACAAGCCATCGACATCGACCAAGACCACTGCTGACGTCCACAGTTCGCAGGACGGTGATAACGAAATTGCTTCAACATCCAAGCAGCCTCCGAAACCGCCAGACCCACTAAAGGAAGCTGTCGAATCAGCTCTAACACCAACTGTTGCAGAGACAAGTTCGCATTCCGAAGCTTCTTCGAAGGCAGACGCGGTGGATGTTGAAGCTGTAGCGACAGCTGATAGTGATAAAAAGACTAGCGAGTCGCTGCCGTCGGAAGGCGACTCACCAAAAGACTCACTGGAGACTGACAGGTCTTCCTCACCGAAGCCCTTGGTGGAGCTTCGTGAGTGGCAAGAGAACAAGCAAGAGGACAGAGTGCTCAACCGCCTGAGAAGTTCGGGTAGGGCGTCGCTCATCACTAAGGAAAAACTCAACCTTGTGGAGAAAGTGATTGCCGAGAGACTCGGCAAGAGGATTCCGGAACCAGGAATCCGTAAGACAATC